CGCCGAAGCCCTAGCTCGTCGGATTTACAGGATTCACCCTTCCTCAGTCGCCGCCGTTGATCACTCCTTCGAAGAGATTCTTCAGATGAACTTCTACGACTCATGCCCTTACCTCAAATTCGCACATTTCACGGCCAATCAGGCGATTCTAGAAGCCGTAGCGACGGCGCGTGTAGTTCACGTCATCGATCTAGGGTTTAATCAAGGAATGCAATGGCCGGCGTTGATGCAAGCTCTAGCTCTCCGAGTCGGCGGACCTCCGTCGTTCCGTCTCACCGGAGTTGGACCTTCGAATCGGAACAAAGGGATTCAACAGTCTGGTTGGAAGCTAGCTCAGCTCGCTCAAGCCTGTCGAATTCGAATTCAAAGCTCTAACCACCGAGAGATTATCCGATCTCGAGCCGGAAATGCTCGAGACCCGACCCGGATCCGAGACCCTGGTGGTAAATTCGGTTTTCGAGCTCCACCCGGTTTTAGCACGACCCGGTTCGATCGAAAAGCTGCTCGCTACGGTTAAAACGATTAAACCGGTTATCGTAACGGTTGTGGAACCAGAAGCGAATCATAACGGCGTCGTTTTCTTAGAACGGTTTAACGAGTCGCTTCACTATTACTCGAGCCTGTTTGACTCGCTCGAGGATGGGGTTTCGTTACCGAGTCAAGACCGAGTTATGTCGGAGGCTTACTTAGGGTGCCAGATTCTCAACGTGGTGGCTGCGGAAGGAACCGATCGGATCGAGCGGCATGAGACGCTGGTTCAGTGGAGGAAACGGTTTGGATTAGCCGGGTTTGACCCGGTTAATCTCGGGTCAGACGCGTTTAAACAAGCGAGTTTGTTATTGGAGCTCTTCGGTGGCGGAGATGGATACAGAGTGGAGGAGAACGACGGAAGCATAATGCTTGCGTGGCAGACGAGACCGATCATCGCCACGTCGGCGTAGACCGATTGATTCGTTCTAACTGTTTAAATTTTTGATTCACGCTAAAAAAATATACATAAGTAAATGAAGCATGAAGGCATTTGGACCGACTCGATTAGTAAATTAAGGCTAACGTTAGGGAGATGATGCATACGAGTATAGAAAGCTAAACGCCTAAACCTCTTTCGAGTCTTTTTTCCTTTCTCTCTGAAAAACCGAAATCCAAACTCTACTTTTTGATTTTGAGGTGTCTTTATTAATTCAATTTGGAAAAGAAGAGTTTACAAAAACAATATCGAAAAGTTTAGCTCTAGCTAATCGAGCTAAGCAGTTAGCCGTAACATTTGACTTACGAAGAATAAAAGTGTGTAACATAATAAAAACGATCACAAAACAGAATATACTCATCCAAAAAATTGGAGATAGCATGTCACTTCATATGATTTTGCTTTACTATATCCACTTTTGGGTTGTGTTGTTTGATGGGTAGGGAACAACCATCCTAAAGATGCAACATTTGATTGGCATCATTATACAATAATCAACAACATATTTCTTGTAATTATATTTCATTTATGTTTGACTGGTCAACTTGATGATGTAAGGCACATTTTGTTGATACTAAAAAAGCTTCCAAACAAAAAGATATTGTGAGAAATTCGTGCATAGCGTAGATATTGATCTAGTTAATGTTAAATTTGTT